TGCCCCCCCTCAGTGTGTCTTGTTGTTGCCCAACAGAAGCATGCCTAGGCGGCGCATTTATACTCATCATCCATATTTGTGTAGAGAGGGTGTGTATTCTCTCTCCCCTCCCCTTTAAATATACCCCTCCTTCTCCTTCACCGTGTGTGGTGTGTTACGCGGGGCCGGGACAAGGGAGGCGGGCGCAGCGCTCCTCCCCCCCCCCTCCATCCAAGAGCGTGTCTTCTTCCCGAGGAGAGAGGTGTGTGTGGCTCGGGGGGGGGGGGGGATGTGTGGACGAGCGTGTCGGCCTCCTCCTTCCCCCTCTCCTCGCCGCCTTTCCGGGAGGCGTGTGTGAGCGCATGGAGGATGTTGGGGAAGGTTATGGTAAGCACCTGGGAGCATCGCACGTTTGCGCCATCCGCGGGCTGGCGGAGAGAAGCCCGCGAAGAGGGCGTGCATTTTTTTTCGCGAGGGCGTGTCTACCTCCTCCCTGGCGTCGAGCTGTTCTGTGGTGCCTGCGGTGCACTCCTCTTCAACATTTGGAGGCTTCACGTTCCTGTTGACGCGGGCGTTCTCCTCCCTCTCCCTCGCTCCCTCCCTCGCTCCCTCTTTCTCTCTCTCTCTCTCTTTCTCTCTCGCTCATTTTCTTGGTCCTACAGGGGAGGATGCGGACCCGAGCATTTCCCTTCGTGTCGTGTTTGGCATGGTCTGCTGCGTCTTTTCTTCATCTCACTGTCCCTTGTGCTGAGGGCCACCCCTCGGCGGTAGTGTCAATCCCCTGTCGCCCTCCTCACCCTTTCGCGCGGTGCTTTTATTTTTCTCGCCCTCGCGCCAGGGTGAATTGCAGAAGGATCATCTGAAAATAAAGCACACGAACAGAGGATCTACAAAGGAAGAAGGACAATCTGGTTCCAGGATAACTCTGCTATCTCCATTTGCAGATCACACTTATGTGCCCGGAGACTCATCCCCCCGGGGGAGAAGGACCCAGTCATCGAGAACCAGGGGCGTGAGGTGGGGGCCTACACAAGACACTGTTGTTGGGGGCGCATCGGCCCTTGCACCCGACGACCCGGCATACCTGGGACCCAACGCAACGGCCCTCCTCTCTTCAGGGCGCGT